AGTCCCTATGATGAGGCTGAGGCAGTACAGTCATGGAGCATACTGCCCTGCCAGCCAAACTCAATCAAAAGCTCTCGGTTCAGCAAGAAATCCTATCTCAAAAATTAAGGATGCAGAGTAACTGAGGAAGACAAACAATACCAATTTCTGGCCTCCAAAGGTGAACACATACAATTGTACCCACATGTTCATGTCCATCTACATGCACATACACACACACACACATACATACATATAAACCACACGTGTGTGTATGCACGCATCGCACTCACAGAAGCACATGCACATCCCATTCCTTTAAGGTAAACTCTGGGGCTAGCCAGATGGCTCAGTGGTTAGGAGCACTTGCGGCTCTTATAGAGGACTAGTGTTTAATAACTAGTACTCACATGGATTAACCCCAATTTTAGGGACTCCAACTACCTCTCTGGCCTCCATAGGCTTTGTACACATGTGGTACACATCATGCAGGCATACACACATACATATAAAAAAAATCGCTAGAAATCACAAAACAGAATGAAGTGACTATGTACTCAGGGCTCCCAGTAAGCACAAGTGCAGGCTGGGCTATGAATACATTGTATCCTCAGATTCATCTTTCAAGTCCTAACCAGGGACACCTCAGAAAAGTAACTTCTCTTTGGAGCTAAGGCCTTCAAAAGAAGTAACTAAGGTAAAATGAAATCATATAGGTAGTCTAATCTATATAATCCTTCTAATGATTGATGTCTTTATGAAATAAAGACATAGACAGGCAGAAGGAAACCAATCCAAGGAAACCTCAGAAGAACCCAACCGCTGGGCAGTGGTGGCGCACACCTTTAATCCCAGCACTTGGGAGGCAGAGGCAGGCGGATTTCTGAGTTTGAGGCCAGCCTGGTCTACAGAGTGAGTTCCAGGACAGCCAGAACTACACAGAGAAACCCTGTCTCGAAAAACCAAAAAAAAAAAAAAAAGAAGAAGAAGAAGAACCCAACCATGCAGAAACCCAGACCTCATGCTTCTACCATGAAGGATTATCAGAAAAGAAACTCCTGTTCAAGCCACCCACAGTCTGATGCTATCAGGAAAGCTGTATAGACAGAGGCCATGTCCTAGCAGAACAACTATTCACAAACATCCTTACCTGTGACTTAGATTTAAGTCTTTTTCTTTTTAACACTGGCTGTCCCTGAATTCACTTTGTAGAGCAGAAAGAAAGAAAGAAAGAAAGAAAGAAAGAAGGAAGGAAGGAAGGAAGGAAGGAAGGAAGGAAGGAAGGAGAAAGAAAGAAAGACAGACTAAAAAAAGACATCCTCGGTGGTTTTAGAGGAGGTCTGGTTCTCTGTAAGCTTCTTGTCTTTCTTTTGCCTAGCAGCAACTGGACTATCTTTGCTTTTCATCCTGTATCTAGAGCCTCAGAAGCCAAAGTTCCAGAGGGGAGTAAGGAAGGGAAGAAAGTCGGTCTCTAACTTGCAGTTCTGGGCAAAGTTCAGACAGATCAGTAGAAAAAAAACACCTGGATTATAAATACATTAGTGTATGATATGATTTTAATGTATTTTTTTTAGAAGTTTCTCTAATACTTTTAAGTTTTTAAAGTTCGATTTCATGTGAAGTTGCATAATTTTTTTGAAATATACATGTTACTACCTTCTAAGTATAATAATATTTCTGATGTTCTACACTCTGCCCCTTTGTTGTCTACATGATTTGGGAGAGTACAACCACGTTTCTGAAATACACTGCTGTTGTCACTTCAGCTACCAGCATCTCTGGTGTGAGATACCAAGAACTGTTTCAAGTGTAAGACTTTGCAAAACAAATGAACACTGCTGGGGAACTTGCCTTTCTCCAGAGAAGCCTGTTAAAACAGTGTTGGCACTGGATACGAAAAATCCCCAAATCTGCATTTTAGCTACTTTTGCTTTCTTGACCTTTATTTGAATTTGAGACTAAGCTTTACCAAACAAGAGAATTTACACAGTCACTAGCCAACCACAGTCCTCATTATGGAATCTATGCAGTACATTTGTTTCCTAGGAAACCGACCAGAGCACAGACAGAGTGCAATTTCAGACTAGCCAAAGAATTCTCCAATCATGCTGGTAAATAAAGTCCATAAATCAACTAATCAGAAGCAAACTCAAGAAGTATCACAGAACAGCCAAGCTCTGTGGAAACTTAAAGGGGGGGGGGAACCTGTGGGGCTTCTTTGGGTACTGTGTAGATCTTTCAAGTAAATATTATGAGCAGGTTTCTTTCTAAACACAAACTGTCATAAAATGAACTGTTCCAAATAAATGGCTCCTCTCCAATCTTCAGCTTCTTTACTTGACAGTATTTAGGAGGGAAAGCTTCTTGAGAGCCAGTCTCATACATCTGGTACCAGGACATCAATCCAAGAATGAATTCTGCATGTCAGCAAGCAGCATGGGCTTGTGCTTAGTGCAAAATGACAAAACTTGCCAGGAGCAGTTCCTATCACACCTCTCACCAGGCTGGGTGGGAGAGGCTGGGGACAATACAGGCAAGACATGACACAATCACAACCAAAAGTTGTCACAGGAAAGAACAAGTCATAGAAAAAGGACAGGATAAAATGAAAAGTCACAGGTCTCTAAAGAGCAAATCTGTTACCTCCTAGTTTTCTATTTTACTATGCTAGTACCAAGCATAGGAAAGTACTGAAAAAGCCTGTAGACTTTTAAGTCTCCCAGACTTAACTGAGGACAGCTTAGTGTTGCTTAGGAAAACAAAAAAACAGCTAAATGGCAACTTCATTTTAAAGGCCAATTGACACAAATTTTCTGCAAGGAGCATTTACTTGTTGTAAGGTTTAAAAAAAAATCAGGACAAAAAATTAATTTATGTGCCCTCATAGACACCAACTGACCAAATGGGAAATAAGTAAAAAGTATATAAGCCACTCTGGAATGCTTCTGATTACACTATACCAGTCAAAAAGAAATGAAAAGGCAAGGTATTATCTCTCAGGCAGCACGGATAAAGGCACTATGTGCTGACCCAAGGCATTCCCAGCACAACCCAGGCACTGTTAACTTCTCCCCCATTTCACAGAGATGCTTTGTTACTGTCTTATCGCTGCCACTGACGGTCTAATAAATACACAAACAAGCTATTCAGTTTGCTAGCCTGTCTTGAGTATTTCAACCAGTGCCGAAGAACTGCAACTCTGATGCTGTTCTAGAACTCCCTGTTCCTGATAAGACCAGACCTAATTCAAGACTCCTCTTTAAGCTATCTATAAGGGAGGGCGGAAAGGTTTAGGCCAGGGTGGACTGGACAGAGCTACACACTAAGCTCTGTCCCTCTGTGTAGCTTAAATCCATTTACCTAATCTAGACCGGAAGTCACAACAAAACCTGATCAACTACTGTAGATGAAGCTGCTTCTAGACATCAAGCATGTATAAATGTGTAGTCTGATAACATAAAAATTCAGTATACAATATCGTTAATCTAATGTAACTGGGACAGGAATCTAGGGTAAATTTTTCTCTCACAAAAAAGTCACTATTTTAAGCATATTAAATTCTTTTATGTGAAAAATAGGGTACTTGAATAAGAGTACATTGAATTGCATTTTTTCTTAAATTTGTAACAACTTAATAAAAATTTAAGGACCTTTCATACCATAGAATTTTCCCTTCAAATTTAATTTTTTAAAGGAATTGTCCATTTTCTCCAAATGGCTGTTTAATGCTCCTCAAAACTATTAAAAACAAAAACCACTCCCAGGTAATAGTCAGACTTATATATGTCAATATGAATTCTCACAGTAGACAAAAATAAAGTTTCTAGAAGTGAGGAACAAACAGATTAACATAGGGTATAACCCCACACCTACATAAAAAATGTTGAGTCTGTGAAATGAATCTTACGAATGCTTACTGGACTTCATTTATTATTTGATCATTTATGAATACATAGCAACTGTTCCCGAAGTTAGCCAGCTAATCAAACAAGAAAAATCAGAGCTACTACTTCCACCTTTCAAAACACTATATCTAACATACAACAACCCATTCCTTGGTTTGTATGCATGGAATATATAAATGCATCGTGTAAAATAAGGAAACATCGGTGGGAAAATCACTTCTAACATCACGTTCTCTTCTTATGCTATGGGAGGAAAAAAACTCCTATCTTAAAACGGAAAACAAAGGTTTTAGTCTCCATGAAAAGACTATCATTATGCTTTACTCTAATGCAAGCCCTCCCGTCAAAGCTGTCACTACATGACACTCCAGTTGACCGTTTAATAGGTAGACTACTCTATCAGTGATAATCCTAACGATCATAAGAAAAAAACTTTACTCCAAAACTTCAAAACAAAAATAAATTGTTTTTGTTTTTCTTTTTAAACCAACCAACCATGTTCGATTTTCTCCATTTAAGTCACTACCTGATCTTTAAATTTTTAAATTAAAGACAGCCGTAAGAAAACCACAAACATTTTTTGTTTGTTTGATCTGATGTGTTGCTGGTCAGCTCAACCTCCTCTCTCCAGGACACTACGTTTCTTGATCTATTTGATAACAAACACAAATCACTGTGCGCAGCCTCAGACTGGAGGGGAGCCTTTGGGAGAAAGACTTCCTCCGTTAGAAACAATAAATAAGGGAGCAAAGCGCCGCACGTTCCTTTACACGCCCCACACGCACCTCCCGGTACCTCCGACAACCAAGCTAGTCCGGCAGAGCCCCGAGGCGCCTCAGACTCTGCAACTAGCTGGGCAGACCGTTCCTCCTCTGTCCCGCCCTCCTGCCCGGCTCGGTGACGCCGGCGCACGGACAGTCCCCGCCAAGACACTGCGGGCCGCGAACCCGTGCGCACCCGTCTCTGCACCCGCAGACCCCTCCGCCCCTGGCGCCCTCCCGCCTCGCTGGCCCGGAGCAGACAAAAGGAAGGTTCTGAGGGTCACGGAGCGGCCGCCCACACACAAAGAGGCCCCGCGCCCGCGTGCTCCCCAGCCCCGCGCCGGCTCTCACCCACCTGCAGGTGTCTGTGCGTCTGTCCATAGGAACGCGGGCGGTGGGGCCTGCGGGAGCCCGGCGGCCCGAGCTGGACGGGGAGGGACGGCGGGACGGAGAGCGGCAGCACCACGGCCGGAGGCCCCGGGGCCGGAGTCGGTGAAGCGGAAAGGGTGCCCCGCGGGCTGAGCGGTGGGTGACGGTGGTGGTGTGGTGGGGGCGCGGGCGCCAGACTGGCTCGGCCACCGGCGCGCGCCGCTCCGTGCGCCCCAGGCTCCGCGCGCCCGGCTTGGAGCGCGGGGGCGGGGCCGCACGGGGCGGGGCCGGAGAGGGGCGGGGCGGGGGCTCGGACCCCGGCTTCAGCCGGCACCGGAAGCGCTCCTCAGGCGGCGGGACCTACAGGAAGTGTGTAGCGACGCCCGCGGAAGGCACTCGACCCGCGGCGCTCGCTACTGTAAGGGGGCGCGGGCCAAGCTCCAGCCATCGGTGCGCGCAGCCCGTAGGACCCCCGCCGCTCCGACAGGTACAGAACCCACGGTCTCTGCCACTTTCCACGCGTGTCGGCTGTCCCTGTCTCCACGCACTTCAATCTAAACACTTGAAGTAAGCAAAGCTTGATCGCTTTAGAGGTACATGACATCTCAGCCAGAGTTGAGCCAGGTGGCCTGGGACCCACAGTGTACTTACTCCATAGTGTCCTAATGCCACACCGCATCACACCCACACACCTGTAATAAACTGGAATTCTCAGAAAAAAAAAAAGAATATTGCAAGGTGTTTAAGATTCTATTAAGGCTTAATAATTTAACTTCAAGACTGTGAAGAGTTAAAATGTTGTAGACAGCCAAATTATCTTGGGCGTTTTTAATTCCTTTGGAAGTCATTTATTGCCCACCCATCAAACTTAATACCCTCATGACCTTAGGAAAACCTTTAATATGTCTTTTTAGCAGTGGCTAGAGAGACAACTCAGTGATTAAGAGCACTGGCTGCTCTTCCAGAACACATAAGTTTGAGTCCCAGCAGTAGCTCACAACAGTCTGGAGTGGAGTCCTCTCAGTGCTGACACAGTGGTGCACGGACATACACGCAGGCAAAACGACCATTAAAAATAATGATGATAATAATAATAACAACAAAATGACCATTAGAAATAATAATAGTAGTAGCTATAATAAAAAGAAGAAATGTATCGTCAGCCGACTGCTAGCTTCCACCGAGTCAAAAGCTACAAATCTCACCAGTACCTAAAACCTGTAAATTTGGCCCACTTTGCTGTAATCCACCGACCTGCAGTCCCTGCTGTTTGGTAAATGCCTTGATTTTATGACTTTATCTCTTCTGTAACTAATTTAAAAAGCTAAGGTAACGGCTTCCACAGTGGAGCATGTCTTTCAGGACAATCTGAATCCGTCTTGCTGTGCCATCCTTCGTTTTTGGCTCAAGAATAGACTCGCTGAGCTCAGAGCTGTACTTTTGCATCCACACACTCATCCCCCTAGGGAGTGGGGCCGTAGTAAAATTCTTAGACTGGTGCTTTGGTACACAAGGGACTGAAAACTACCTACACAGCATGGCACTACTGAGACAAGGCTTCATGTTAAAAAAAAAACCCTTTCATAGCACCTACCAGATACGTTTGTGCCAAGCACTTAGTAGGTTATTAATTCAGTTAGTCCTAGGAACTCTACAAACATTACTATTCTATAGGAAGTGTTTTTATGTATGTGGGTGTTCTGTCTGCATGAATATCTTTGTACCAGGGATGCCATTGGTGTCCTCCCAGGCCAGTAGAGGGTGTCAAATGCCCTGGGAAAAATATAGAAGAGCTGTATTCAGTCTCCATGGATTTTCCAAGTACAATCAGAAATTCTGTTATCATGGAGTCATTAACATTAACAGGGAGGACACTGCTCGGAGGAACATGAATATATGTACATTATTATACAAACAAGTCTTAGGCCCACGACGGCCATCGGCACTCCTGGAGGCCCACACCTGCTGACTCTGTCCCAGGGGCAGGAACTGAGAGGCCAAACCTAGTCCATCTTGTGATTAGCCTCCATCTTAAAAAAAAAAAAAAAAAAAAAAAAAGACCTGAGAGCTTGACTTACAGCTGAACCCAAGCTGCGCCCAAGAACCAGGAAGGACCCCACAGCTTGTCCTTGGCCAGAGTTGCTCCCTAGCTAGTTCCTAGCAACAGTTAATCTAAGATTAATCTGATTGTTTCAGATGTACCTTCAGACTGTGATTATATAGGGTGTTGCTTCAGAGCACCAACCTGTCAGTTTATAGTCATTCAATTAGATGCTTGCCAGGATGAACACTCCCTCACTTGCTTCCATTTTCTATAAAGCCTTGTTCTGATGAGAGTTCCAGGCTGCTTCACCAAACGGTCCTGTGGGCTGGCAGTGAGTAATAAAGACCCTAATGTGATTACATCCCCAGAGTTGGTTCCTGGTTGGTCTTTTGGACTCTCAAACAAGGCACAACAGAATCATGTCATTCTGTCCCTACCAGACCTATGCTGGATTCAGCAAAAATGGACAAATTTTAAATGATCCCATGTTCCTGGGATAGCTGACACTGCCCAAATCATGGGAAAAGGCAAAAAAGGAACTGATAGGGCCTGCTATCAGTCTTAGTCAACATTGACACTGCAACACACCACCACCTACAAAGTCCATGCTCAAGAATGCACCATTGAGAGTGTGTGTGTGTGTGTGTGTGTGATGTATACACATGTACATATATACATTCATACATATGGCATTAAAAACAAAATCTCATAATGGGCCCTGAGGCTAAGTGAGTGAGTGAAGGTGCTTCCCTATAAGCTGGGCAACCTGAGTCAATCCCTAACCTACACGGTGGAGGAAGAGATCCAGTCCCTTTCAGTTTTCCTCGGACCTCTGCATGCATACCACACAGGAAACACACAAAGTAAATATTAAAAATGCAAATCTCAGGGCAGGAGAGGGTGTAGTGGTGATGAATTCTTCCTCCTCTTCCAGAAGACCCAGGCTTAATTCTAAGCACCTCTATCCTATGGCTCACAACACCCATAACTCCCCTCCAAGGGAGCTAATCACACCAAAACATACATACGCAGATACACACACATAAATAAGAAATATAAATGGCTGGGCAGTGGTGGTGCACGCCTTTAATCCCAGAAGTTGGGAGGCAGAGGCAGGCGGATTTCTGAGTTCAAGGCAAGCCTGGTCTACAGAGTGAGTTCCAGGACAGCCAGGGCTACACAGAGAAACCTTGTCTCGAAAAACAAAAACAAAAAAAAATATAAAAAATATTTAATGAAAAGCAAATATCATACTGTTTTAAGTTAGTTTACTATTTTGTTGGGTTGCATTCACAGGTATCACAGATTAGATAGCTCTGCCAACAGTGGCATGTAGATTTAAATAAAATTAGGCAGTGGTGGTACATTTTTAACCCCAGCACTTGGGTGGCAGAGGCTAGCAACTGAGTTCCTGGATAGCCAGGGCTACACAGAGAAACCTTGTCTCAAAAAATAAAATTAAATATATTTAGCACACCCAATATATACTAAAAGTGAGTAAGAAACTAAATTTTATATTCTACTTTTGCCACAAATAACTGTATGTATTTGCTATTAAAAATAGTCATTCTATATGCCAATTTGCCCCAAAGCACTTGTGGATTCCTTACCTACAAAACAAGGGACAAACAACAACAGCAACAAAGAACAAGCAATGAAAAGAAACTGCTACAGAAAACATTGTAAAAGGTATCGTTAGCTGTGGTACTGGATAGTTGTATGTCAACTTCACACAAGCTGGGGTCATCTCTGAGGAGGTAACCTCAATTGAGATAATGCTTCCATAGGACTGGGTTGGAGACAAGCTTGTGAGAAACTTTCTTAATTAGTGATTGATGTGGAAGGTTCAGCCTACTATGGTGGTGCCATCCCTGATCTGGTGGTCCCAGGTTCTGGAGGAAAGCAGGCTGAACAAGTCATGGGGAGCAAGCCAATAAACAGCACCCCTCCATGGTTTCTGCATCAGCTCCTGCCTCCGGATTCCTGCCCTGCTTGAGTTCCTGTCCTGATAAACTGTGATGTGGAAATGTAAGCCAAATAAATGCTTTATTCCCCAACTTGCTTTTGGTGCTTTGTCACAGCAATAGTAACCCAACTAAGCCACTACTGGACAAAGTTATTAAATAGGAAGGTGGTCCTGGTTAAACACCTCAGTGTCTCAACTGAGGTTGTTTATGAACCAGATTGTCTTGAGAAAAATCAGATCAAATTGGTCCCATCAGTGCCTACAACTGAGCCTTGAACTACTTTCATCACTGGTTGATGAAGCTCCAATATTCTGTCTGCGAAAAATAAATCTTTGGTGGAGGAGCTTTTTTTAAAAAAAAGTTAATACATAATATCTGGCATTACATATATGACAAGAAAAATTATTAAGAACCAAAATGAAAAAGAGGACAGTCAAAACATATACATATGTCCCAGATGTCCTGGTCAATAGATAGAACCCTTAGAATAGCTGTGATTAATACGATCAAGAATGACAGAATGGAGGCTTTTAGTACACATTAGGATTTTAAAATAATCAAATAGAGCCCACTGGGGACATATAAACCAAAACCACAATAGGATGCTGTGACAGTCTGAATATGCTTGGCCCAGGGAGTGTGGCACTATTTGAAGATGTGGCCTTGTTGAGGTAGGTGTGTCGCTGTGGGTTTTAATACCTTAGTCCTAGCTGTCTGGAAGCCAGTCTTCTCCTAGCAGCCTTCAGATGAAGATATAGAACTCTCAGATCCTCCAGTACCATGCCTGCCTGGGTGCTGCCATGCCCCCACCTTGAAGATAATGGACTGAACCTCTGAACCTGTAAGCCAGTCCCAATTAAATGTTATCCTTATAAGAGTCGCCATGATCATGGTGTCTGTTCACAGCAGTAAAACTTTAACTAAGACAGAAGTTGGTACCAGGAGTGGAACTGTGCTGTGATAGGCCTGACTATGCTTTTGTTTGGTAGAATATGGATTTGGGAACTTTGGATTTGGAAGGCAGTGGAATCCTTTAAGTGGGGCTTAATGGGCTATCCTAGTAGAAATATGGAAAAGTTTGTTGCTGAGAGTGATTCGAACTTGGGCATACCAGGCCCAAGAGGTTTCAGTGAAGAATTTCAGTATGTGGCATAGAGACTGTTTTTGTGGTATTTTGGTGAAGAATGTGACTGCTTTCTGCCATTGCCAAAGATTATGCCTGAGACTGAGGTGAAGAGATTTAGAGTAA